GTCCTGAGTGGACTGAGGCAGGGGGGACGTGCAAGAGCCTGGAAGCAGCTTTATTGTCTTACTGTCTTCTCCTACTACCTGCCTTCACACAGGCGGCTGGGGCCTGGAATTTCTCCTTTCATTTGTTCCTCCCAGATCCCTAGGGGTTTATGACGGTTGTAATGGGTTGTTTTAAATGTTCCAAAAACTCTAATGGAAATCATAATACATCTGTTTTCTGCTTTTTGCATACCCAGTTATGGATGTATTTGATGAATAAATCATGGGGAAATGAATTAATGATTCCTTAATGATTAGCCTCTTTGGCAGAAACATACTTCAAGATAAGGGATAGTTGGTAGAAAAGTAATAAAGGAACATCTTGATGTTGAATCGGTTGGGAAGTCACACAGGCCAGAGGCTCCTTAGGGTTCTTTCCAGTTGCAGCCCTTGCAGCAACTGGCTGCATAGTCTGGAGCAGCCAGTGGTCCTGTGCTGAATGGAGCAGGAGTGATGGAGGAGAAAGCAGCCTCTACAGCCAGTCCTTCTGTCTCTGAAGATTCAGGAAGGTCAGTAAGTCAAGGGCAAGTGGTGGTCTGTTTGAGAGGCATTTAGGAAGAGCCCAGTCCCTCTCTTCTGGGTCCCTATGCCCAAGGCAGAAATTCAAAAACTCTGGAAAAACCCATGGCCAAGGGGCAGCATGCCTCTTAAAAGAACAGAACATTTCAGTCCAGTGGTGTGCAAACTAGAGTACACATCATAATCACTAGGGGAACTTTTAAAAACAGGTGAATGGGCCCAACATCAGGAGCTCCTGGTTCAGGTCTGGGATGAGACCACGGGTGTTCATGTGTAACACAGTCCCAAAGTGATGCTGCTGCTGTTGCCGGCTCAGGGGCCACACTCTGACAGATACCTTCCCCCCATTTGCTCCCACCTCGGTTTCTCTTTTCCATGGCTGTCCTATCAGCCCCACTATGCTCCTCACACCATCGACCCCTTCAGGCCTTCCACCCCTTGTTGCCCTGGGCTCCCTGCTCTTTATTCCCCCACCAGCTTCAACAGCCTTCCATTCCCGTCTTTCTTCCTGAACTATGGCACACTTGATATTCTTGAACACTGAAATGCCGGTGAGACAGGAGGAAAAACCAGTCCATGCCTGCAGCGGGCAAGGGACACTAACTGCAGGTGACCTGGCCAGGGTGGGCTGGCCAGAACTCCAGGTTCCTCACAGCTGACAGAGTTGCCTGGGGCTGGTGCAGTTCAACAAAGACTCCATGGGACTGTGGGCGAGGTTCGTTTCCTGCGCCTTGGGAGACAGTGGGAGAGATGGGGTCACCTAGAGGGCAGCATCCATGCACAAGCTCAGCTTCAAATATGCTTTCCAGAATTCTCAGACTTTGAGTAGGTATGCATCAGAATCCCCGAGGGCTTGCTAAATTTTGCTGCTGGCCCCCCACCTCCCTCAGAGCCTCTCATTTTGTAGGAAACCCTGGGACTTACCTAAAAGTTCCCAACCTCAAATACTAGAGGATCTCCCAGTAGGGGCAGCCTGTGGGATCCATGGAGACCGAGGCCAGAGATGAATACTTGTTGAATAAAGGAAGGAATGAGAATGTGCACCATCCATGTTTAGTCCTTAGCCACATACAATGCACTCTCTCACCCAGTGCAACCTTGGCATTCCCAGGCTGGTACAGATTTCCCACAGTCTGAAAGTAGAGCTTTCCTCTAAACCCTTTCATAAGCCCAAATGTCATCAAGTGAAGAAGCAGTGACTATTAATTTAAATAGAAAAATATTTTAGTGTTCCCAGACCCAAAATTCAATGCTTGCACTACTGAAACACCTAATTATGTTCAGTTTTATGCTATGTGTAACACCCTATTTGCTCCCTTGGCTTTTCCGATACTATAGGACACATCTTGCTATTAGATGCCCAGAATAAATCCATCAAAGCCCAGGTGCTCACCGACACAGTTCAGAGCCGTGGCGGCCGGCTGCTGAGATGCTGAGTGTGGTTCTGTGGAAGGAGCTGGTGGGGCCTCTCGGGTCTGCTGCCAGCTTACTACAAAACACACACTGAACAATATTTTTGCTTTTCATCTTCCCCCACATAAAGACTGGGTTAACTGTAGTTAGTCTCTAATGATCTGAACCTTTCATCCAGATATCCCTGACAACAGGGGATTTACTATTTCTTCACTTTTCTGTCAGTTATCATTTTGTCTGCCAGGAACTAACACAACCCAGGCTTATGCTGGGCGCTTCCCAGTGTTGAGACATGGACTCCAATATCGCATATAGATTTTTCTTCTGTAAAGCTGCCTAATCCTTCTTATAGTTCTTCTTCCCTGAGAACAGGTGGAGTTGTTCTAAGATGAAGGAAGCTGCGCGCGCTGTGTTATGTCTCTGTTGCCAGGCCAGTCTTGTCTGACTCCCATTCTTTGTACCCAGCAACCTCTTTGGTCCCTCATGCAAGTGAGTTTCTGAGCTGGCCTCAATAGTGGTAGCTACAGCTTGGGATCCGTGAGGTTAGGCACCCCTTTCTCCATCACACTGTGATTTCATGGAGAAATGAATTGAATTCTAGGGGCTCAAAGGCTACTAATCAGGAGCGGGCTAGGTGGACCCACCCTTCCCCTAGTACGCCCATCTTCCCCAGGTTCATGCATCCCTGTTGGTCATTTCTGTAGGAAACTGTGGTAATTATTAGTGGCTGACTTGACTTTAAATAGCTCTCTGTGACATAGGTCCTGCAGTCCTGGAGTTGTTACGAATCTGAAGAGGTGCCCTGAAGTGCACAGCACTCTGTTTGATCTCCACAATGTGCTCTAAGGAATTTGCCCACTTTGCAGGGGTGGGGGTCTCAGAACTCCATGCTGAATCACGTTTGGTCCTTGTGACTGGGGTGTCTTTATTATTATCCTCTAATAGGCAAGGATCACCTAGAATGTTACTTAGCCAAGAAGTGGCAGAGGTGACTGAGTTCAGGACACTGAAAAAGCCCAAATGCCCTCAAGGGAACACAGAGGATGAGGGGTCACAGAAAAAAGGCCCCGGAGAGTAGTAGGAGGCTCCCCCAGGCCCAGCCCCTTGGGAGAACTTTCTGGACAAGTCCGGATCAGCACTAGCACAGCTCCAGGTAGCCCTGCCCAGTGGGGACAGGCTCCTCCTTCTTCCTCCTCCATCTGCAGCCTGCCTCTTCTCATGTGATGGGCTGTCATGTGCTTATGGTTCTGGCATCGGCAGTGACACAGAGCAGCGTGGAGGTCTGCTCTGGAGCACATTCCCTACTCCCTGGGCATTTGGCATAGCCAGGTTGGGGTCTGAGGCACGATGGTTCATGACTCACCTGCCGCATGAGCTTGCTTCACCTCCCCCAGTTGCTACCCTGCTCACTGTGCCTGAGGCTCTACAGGGCTCTGCAGAAGCCAGCCAGCAGTTTGTGGGTGGGAAAGAAGGCCCTACTGGCAGCCTGGAGACCTGGAGACTGGAGACCTGGGCCCCAGTCCTGGAGGTGCTGCTGTTCAGCTGCTTTAACTCGGAAAGGGCACTGCATCTGCCGGCTTTAGTTTCCCACCTCTAAGACAGCAGGCTTGCTCCAGATCTTTGGTTTTCTAAGTATCGTAGGGACTAGGAACAGTGGCACTACCTAGATGACTATGAGAAATGTGAAGTCTCAGGCCCCTCCCCACACTTACTGAATCAGAATCAGCATTTCACAAAATTCCCAGGGGACTGGTGATCTGAATACAGTTTGAGTAGTGATGCTCTCCTGACCTCTAAGATTGAGTTTGGAGCTTGTGGCCTCTAATGCTGTGCCACCTGGGGTCCCAGAGCCCTGTTCTGGCAGCTTATCAGTTGCAGACCAAGCCTTGTCCCAGAGGGACAGTCCCCAATTTCTACATGCATCACCTAGGTGAGTCTTCCCAGTTCTAGCCCTTAAAGAGGGTGCCCAGGCGGTTGAAGACAGGTTACTACTGGACTCCCTCCTCTGTGGACCTCTCCTTCCTTCCAGTTACACTGGCCTAGAGCAAGGGCCAGTGAGTAAGCAGCTGGAACTGCATTCAGTTCACCTTCTACTTCCTTTATCACAGATTTAGTCTACACCTATTCTTCACAGCAGCGGGAGACACCCATCCTGCAGAAGCATGCCCTGTGACTTGGAAGGCAATCTGGGAGTAGAACAAGTGTCCTGTGCTGAGAACAATCATATGTGCCTCTAAACTGCATGGGAACAGTAGGGTGAGAGGAAGAGGGAGGAAGATGTAAGGAATGGGAGACCTTCCCTGCTGGGAGTGAGTGTGAGGGGGGAGGTCAGATCCTGTGGCTGCCGCTCAGCTTCTCTCAGTCCCTCAGCCTCTCAGACAGGGCCCTATGCTCTGGGCTGAGTGCGACCCTGGTTTTGCAAGATTCGTATATTTTGAACAACAGGCTGTTGCAAAATGAAAGTCAGCTACTGCATTTGGTTCCCAGCCAAAGACGTGGGAACCTGTTCCCTTTCTAGAATAAAAAGCCAACTGGAATTGTTCAGAGTGATTTTGCTGACATGTGACTTTCCTTCTGTGCTCACTTCAGAACTATGGGAAGAGGAGACACTTCCTCACTGCATGGAGTCATGTCAGAAACACAGTGAAGTATTTAACTGGGGAAATCAATAAGTAAAGATAGTCAAGGAAGTTCTGAGTAGGAGGAGAATCCTTCTTCCTAACACCTTATCTAGAAGTTCTTCCATAGTAACTCTTCAGGTTTCTGAGACCAGTTGAATTCTGAGAAGCCAGGTGGGTGGCTGAGCACAGAGCTTCCAGAAGTTTCCATGGTGTTAGGCTAACATGTGTGCTGTCTCTGTCACATGGGGCTCTATGCATTCCTTCCAGGAGGTGCTGTACTGAACACATAATTCTGAGGTTTGCTCAGACACAGGTTAAACAATAGGAAAGAGGCTGACAACACTGGGAGTCTGGGAATTGTCCAGACACTCAGAAACACGTTACGGCGTGCTTTGACAAAAGGCCAAATCCACTTCTTTATTAGGTAACCACCTCATACCATAAAACACTGGAGGCAGCTTACAAGAAACACATACTCGCTTAGGGTGAAATATAAATAAAAAGTACAAAATTAGATCAGGGGAAATATAAATTAGTGGGGCAGGTTGGCACAGGTGGTAAGTAGAAGCACTTCTGACGGGGCTGTAACTGACTAGATGAAACCGAATTAAGGTGAAAATAAAGCCCTGCCCTTGGGATCAAGAAATAAATGACACATGGAGAGCATAGCAGAGGCTTAGCTTGCTTCTCATAAGAATGCCCAGAGAGTTTCTGTTGACCAGACACGCACCATGTGATCCCCATATAGCCTGGCTGTCTGTGCCAATGGGTGGGGCTGTGCTCATAGTACCCAGTGTCCAGCACCGAGGAGGGCGGCCTCTCACGCTCAGCATTGGCTGGGCATCTGCTTTGGCAACTAACGTGTTGAAATCTGTGACCATGTGCCAACTGGATGAAACCAAGAAATGGATGAGGTGGAGTCTCCAGAGCTCCTCAGTCTGTTCAAAGAGCTGGGGAGGAGTAGCAATAATGCTGGCAGGAGATCCCATGTGGACTTTTGTGCTTGGTTCCAATTGCTGGTTTTTAAAGGGACATTGACAAGAGAAGCAGCAGGAGACAGGGCATCTCTGTTATTGTCTAAGCCCACAGCAGGTTGCTGCCTTAAAAGCTCCAGCTCAAGAACATCAAGGCTTCCCAGGCTCTCCTAAATCAGCAGGGGCACCAGCAGTGTCATAGTAGCCTGTACAGGATGCAGCATGCCTGATGGAGTCTTTATCATGGTTCATTATGGGTTTATCTCATTCTCCAAAGCAGTGGGAGATGCCCATCCTGTGGAAGCCTGGCATCCCTGGCCAGCCTCGGATTCCTCTGGGGCACTGTTGAATGGGGAGTTGCAAAAAAGGCATCTTCTTGCATTGGTGCTTCTCCATCAGAAAGGACTGCTGTTGGATGAACAAAGATGAAATGTATCAGCCCCAGGCTGGACTATGTCCTTTCAAGCCTGTGTGGGGTGAACAAGCCTGGTTCCTGGAGTCAGCCAGACCTGGGGTTTGATGCTGGGCTTCCCTTCAGCAGCACCACTTCTGTGGGCCAGTCAGAGAACCACACTGGGACTCAGTTTCCCAACTGGATATTGAGGATTTGGATCCCAACTCAAGAGATTTGAACATCTGATGAGACCATGAAATAAAATAGATGTTTTGCCCAATAAGTATTGAGGTACTCATCATACCTTTCCTTACAGGCTAAGCTCATCTCTCTCACTGGGTTCTGGATTCTGCCCCCTACCTCTACCTCGGACATGGCCAGGCATCCGCCTGTTTTTGTTTGTAACTTCAATGTCCTCTTTTCCTCTCTACTGACTCCTCTCCTCTGCTTGCCATCCCCCCCTCTGAGAACATCACACTTCAGACCAGCTGTGCCATCACAGCTTTACCCCTGTCATTTCATCACCAAATATTTTGAAGGCTAATCTGCACTCAGTCCATATACGTCTTATCAGCCACTCTGTAGGCAGCACTAGTCTCATTTTGCCCCCACCGTTTTCTGATAAAGACTCATGGCCAGGTCCAACCGCCTTTCCTGAGGACACACACTTTTTGACAGCTCTGAGGTGCTGGATGGTCAGGCCCCCCACTCTTGGTATCATGAGCCCCTTCCCCATCTTTGTCACCTGCCCAGTGTTGCTGCCGTATTACTACTGGGAACTTCTCTTTGGGATCCCCAACCTCCCTTCCTTCCCATTCCTGCCTCCCAGTCCTCAAAAGCAAACATGGCTCAGGGTTCTGACTTTGGCTCCTGTGGAAAGTAACCACAACTACCTCAGGGCACCAAACTGCTTCTGTGAAAGGCCAGATAGTTAAATACTTTAGGCATTACAGGCCAAACAGTTTCTGTTGCATTTCCTCAACTCTGTCGTGATAGCATCAAGTAGCCTTACAGGAATGACTGACCCTGACTGTGTTCCCACAAAACCCTATTTACAAAGCAGAAGGGCCAGCTCTGGCCCATGGGCAGCAGCTTGCCAACCCTGAGTCCAGTGTAAAGAGTATGAACGATAGGGTCCAATACACCTGGTTTCACAATCTGGCTCCATCACTCACTAGTTCCATTATGTCGGACAAGTTTTTCAGTCTCTATGCTCCTTCCTGTGCTTATTATAAAAGGGGAATACTAATAATAAAAACTTCTTCACAGTGTTGTCGAAGGGTGAACTACAAAAATGTGCCTCTTTCAGTGAAAAAGGGACGTCTAAGGGTTTGTCCCTGTACCCTCCTTACTTCCTTCTGTTCATTCCCCACTCCCCATACCAGGCTTTCTTCCCATTTCTCCCTACCTCCCCACCCTCTACAATCTCGTCCACACTCATGCCTGCAGCCCCTATGTCCATCTCCATGCCTGATGTCCCTTATGATTTTAAAATCTGCACATTCAGTGCCAGTTGGGCAGTTCTGTTCATAGATACCATTTCCACCTCAGACCGTGCATGTGCGAAGAACAACACATCACCTTAACCAAATCTGTGCCTTCTCCTAACCTCCCTCGTTCAGGGGGTGGCAATGCTTTCCATAGCTGCTGACGCCACCATGCCCCCCTGGTCCTGTCTGGCGACCTCCTGTCCTTTGCACGGCCATCTCTGCAGTTTACGCTCATGCCCTGCCCTGGACCTTTCTCAGTGGTCTCCTTTTCTCCATGCGTCTGGTCACCAACTTGTTCTGAACATGACACCAAGTTACTCTTGCTCAGGCCCTGCCTAGCCGTGCCACTCTCCAGTCCCTGAAGTTATTGATGGCTCCCCAGGCAGCAGATCCTCATCTGGCTTTCACCTTAACCCTGGTCACGGGCCTACTCACTCATTTCGAGACACTTAATTCTCCCCATTCTGCAGCCCCTCCTTCTGGCTCTCCCAAAATGCCATCTCTGCCTGTTCCCCAGGACCCAGGACAGTGATCTGAAGCCACCCAGCCCCCTTTTCCTCCCTGCAGGGAAGATCTCCCTCACCTGGGATCCTGGAGGCTGTGCAAGCCCATGCTTATCTCATGGCATGCATTTTCCATTTTCTGTGTGCTTTTGTGAGGTGTTGCATACCTGTTTTATGTCTCCCTCTAGATTACAGATTCCTTTGGGGCCAGGGAATGTTTGGCTCTCTGCGTGGCCCCAGCATGCAGCCTTTTTACCTGGCTCCTCTCTGAGCCACCCTGGCAGCTCAGAGTCTGTGTGGGGGAAGTTGATGCTGAGGAGTGGGCCTCCTTTGCCGTAGCTCGGGGCTGTGAGACTTCCACACCTTCCGGCTTTGGTTGCTGGGGAGTGGTGTGTACATGTGCATGTGGCAGGTGTGCAGGGATGTGTGTGTGTGCATAGAGTGAGTGTGGTACAGAGGCTATGTGAGTGTGAGGTGTGTATGTGGGGGTGTGTTGGTGTGCATTCATTAGCAGTGGGGAGATGCATGTGGAGTGTGTGGGTGATGCTCTGTATGTAAGGTACAGTGAGGAGAATATGGGGTGTGGGGAGAGCTGATCCATGCACAGCTGATCCATGGAGTGTATGTGTGGAGGTATGTATGGGCAGTGGGAGAGGTAGGTGTGTGTGTGTTCGTGAGGCCTATATGAGGGGAACATGGGTGCATGCACATGAGGGGAAATGCGTGTGGAGGAAAGAGGTGTTCATTGGTGTCTGTGGCATGTGTGTGTGTATTTGTGACGGAGTGTATGTAAACTCTTACACTCTTCTAAAAGGACAAGACTCCTCCCCTGACTTTATCTATGAGAAATTTTCTATGAGAAGTGCCCAGGAAGTGGAATGAAGAGCAAACAAAGCTTCAGAAAGTTCAGTGACCGAGCAACAAAATCAGATAGCACGATGTCTCCCTTGGTATACAGTTGGGCTATTAAAATGAGCTACTCATTCCTGAAGCTCCTGAGGGGCCCTTTGAGGTTTAGGTGCCACATGGTCTCCAGAGAACCCTGCAAGCAGCAGGCTGAGGGCTGCGGGGGGCCAGGCCCTGCCCAGTCCTCACTGGCATTCTGTCTCACACCTCATCCTGTGGGTAGGCTGGAGGGGGTATCCTAGCTATCTAGACTCTGAAACTCTGAAGGATGAGCTTGGAGGGGCAGCATGAGCTCAAGGAGCCTGCACTCTTCCTTTGAGTCCAGTCTGAGGATCACGGACCTGCAGAACCAGTTACAAACTGCCTGTAAACCATGGACGTGGTCAGAGATTACATCCAGGACAAAGGTCGCAATGTAAGGGAATGGAAACTGCTGTTATCAGAAATATCTTTTAGCGTCAGAGCTTGCATTCATGTGAAGTCTCACGTGAAAGTTCAGTGGATAAAATGTGACAAATCCAGCAGACTGTGTTGGGTGCACAGATGCGCCGGGGTGGGTGGGGTGTGGGATTTCTACCTGCTCACCCTCCAGCCCCCAAGCAGCCTTGCCAGAGCACAGTTCAAAACCTCTTCTGGGGACCAACTCTCCTACTCTAAAGAGAAGTAAAATGACTTGCTTAGGGTCACCCGGCGGCGGTGGCGGGCAATTCCTGTAAGTGAGCAGGCTGCTGAATGGCAGGTCCCAGCCCCTATCAACCTGTCACTCTAAGCCAGCCTCAGACAGTGCAAGGGATGGAGGTCCTGAGGGAGGCGAGACAAATGAATGGGCAGGTTGGCTTTGAGGGTCCCGCGGAACACAGAACTTGGGGACTGAAAAGGTGAAAGTGAAATTTGCCTGATTTCATCCAATGGAGAATGCAGGGGTCTCACAACTTTGAAGGCCCCTGGGGCTTGACAGAAGCCTGGTGTTCTGGGGCTGCTCTTACTCTCACACCTCCTGAAAAATCTTCATGCTGTACACTGTCTTAAGAATGGTCATAATGCTCAGGGACATCAGTCTTGGAGAAAGGTCCCGCCCCTCTGTAACGATGTACCAGCTACCTGTGTTGTGACAGAGGTTCACTTAATCACCACTGGTACAGTGCTGTGGGCAATATCATTATGAGTTACATGTTATTAGTAACACCCTCTCTGAAATAAGGGTTATTATTAGCATCATCTCCATCTTGCAGACTTGGAAACAAGGGCATAGAAAGGTAAAGGAACTTGCCCCAGGTCACACAGCTAGGAAGGAACAAAACTGAATTCAAACTAGACAGTCTGGGTCTCAGCTCATGCTCTTCACCACAGGGTGACTGAACTTCCGTCTTTTCAATGAGAGAAGGACATAAAGGGCAAGGAGCCCCACACTGTGACCCCTTGTTGTTGGGACAAGTGACGTAGCTCCCCAAATGATCACCAGATCATCATTGTTGTTGTCATCTTGCTTAGGTGTCTAATCAGTTCTTATTGTTCTTAAAATAATGGCCAGCGTCCTTCAGAGGGCCTTCAAGGCTCTGCCTGATCTGGTGCCTGCCTACAGCAGGGCCCACATGCTGTCTTGTACTTGCCTCTGCCCTTCAATTGTCCTGCTGTCTTTGGTCCACCACTAATGCAGCCCCTCGCTTAAGCCACTGCCTCTCCCTGGCAGACTCTGCCTTCTGCGTCAGTCTCTCTGGAGTGTTCCAGTGGAGACGCGCTCCTTGTCTTCCTAGCCCTCACCTGACCCTTCACTGTATCCAGTAGTGAGAGTGTTTGGTTAATGTCCGCCTCCCCCTGATGGAAAACTCCCCGAGGGTAGGGACCTTGTGTGTCTTATTCTTCACGGCACCCCCAGGGCCTTGCACAGTGCCTGACACACTCTTCTGAGTGAGCAAACAAATTAAGGTTCCCTTCATGCCTTGATGTTTCATGATGCTAACCATGAAGTGACCCCCACCATTTCCAGTTTGGGGTACACCAAGGTACTCCTCTAGGTGAGTTTATTTACCCAAGAGTCAATGTTTACTAACAACATTTGACATGGATAGAAACCACACTGTTTGCAAAGAGCCTTAGCCTGCCTTCCCAATTTTTGATCCTTGCAACAACAAGGGCAGGTAGTAGTATCCTCATTTTACAGATGGGGATGCTGAGGCTCAGGGCATCACACAGCCTGTTCAACATCACCCAGTGAACAAGTACTGCTCAGGGCCAGATACAGGCATTGTGACTTCTCATCTCTTTCTTTCACTGGCCTGGGGCCACTTCTCCCCACCCTTCTAAATCATCTTCAGATTGCTGGTCTCCTCTCTCTGTTCTGAGGGTCAGATGGAATTCCCCAGAGAAGACACGATGAATATTTCCTCCTTCCAACCCAGCAACGACCTTTGCTCTTACATCCTACCTCAAAAAGGAGTGCCCGACTGTGCCTGCACTCAGGTCCCTGCCCACATAGGGTGGGGTAGATAACAATCTCCCACACACCAGGGCTTGGATCTCAGTCCCTTGGGAGGAGCTGCCCACCTCAAAGTCAGGGTTTGAGGGCCAGACCAGCCCTATCTTTTGGGTTCCACATCCCTGTGAAAAGTCTTACACTTATCTGCCTCTTTGGTTACATGTAGTCAACCGAGCCACTGGCCTGGCTGAAAAGTGAAGCTCAACCAAGGAAACAGTCAGCCCTGGTCTCTCGACTTTGAGGTCTTCCTAATTTGAGGTCTTCCAGGGTGGCTTGGAAAGGTGTTGGCCTCATGGGAGGGTGCCTGAGGAGAATGGGCTGGGGGAGGAGGCAGGGGCACTAGAGCAAATGGATGTGCAGGCAGGTCCTGGCCCCCTCCTGCATGTCCCGTCAGGGCAGGTGCAGGGAGGAAGCAAGCAGGAAGGGCCCTTCTGGGGGCTCTTCTCTGTTCCCTCCTACTCAGGCCAGCTCACACCCCTGCCAGGACACTGTGGCCGTCAGGAAACTTCTCCCAGTGCCAGAGGCTTTTCTCTCCAGCAGGATTCTCCCCAGTAGACTGTCCAGATGGGCCCTTTTCTTCCAAGTGCTAAGTTAATGGGAAACCTTCTTGCGCTGCATGGCAGAACCCTCCGTGATGTATCAGAAGTGGGATGGGCTCTGGAGTCTCTCTTTCCGGTTTCCATACGGAAAAGGATCGTCAGGGGAGAAAATACCTGCCCTCTGTTCTTCTGATGAGCCTGAGCCCAGGCTGACAGATGCCTGTTGGATGGAGTCTTCCTGCTGCTTGCCTGTCCAGCCTCGGAAGACCCGAACCTGCTCATTCGAGCCTGGCCAGCCGCTCTACCAGGGAGGTCTCATGTGCACTTACCTGGTCCCTGTTTGGGGATTTTGGGTGAGAGTGGCAACGTGTCCCTGCTCCTCCGACTGCTAGCAGCTCCAGGTTCACAGGAATCCTGTGTCCCTCCTCCTCAGTCAGTGGCCAAACTACAAGTCCAGTTTCTCAAGAGGCAGTTCAATATTGAAGGAATACCATGCAATCCAGAATAGCAGGCTGAAAGCCAGGGTCAGAGACCCCGTGTAGACCAAGAAGTCCCAGTAATCAAGTGAGCTGAAGATGCCCACGAGCAAAAGCACCAGGCCCAGGGTGTCCAGTAGAAGGGCCAACAGGAGGAGGAAGGCGCACCGCCCAGGGTTGCATCTTCCCCAGGGCCCCCCCAGGAGCATTGCCCCGGAGCGGGGGCAGCGTGAGGAGTCCAGCTGCACTCCCAGAGCTGATGTGCATGGGAGGGTGGCAGGCTTGCCTTCCACTGCCTTCTCTCTCCGCTGGGTGTGAGCAAATGAGTGAGCCGTCTGTCTGGAGCCACGAGGAAGTACATGTGGATCTACCTTTATGAGCACGGCAGCTGGTGGGGCAGGTTAGTGCTTAACTGTTTCACGGCTCAGCAGTGATCCTGATCAAAACAGTCTGACATCACTGCTCACGGGAGTGCATCACTGGGGCAACCAGGTTACACGGCGGAGGAGGAGTCAGCATGCCCTTGGGTGGATTTGCAAAGTCCCGGGACTGGGCACCTTGAAGCTTTGGGCTGGCAGAGGGGCTGCCCTGTGTCCTCTGCTCTGCCTCTCAGGTCCTGGGCAAGTCCTGCTAAGTGACTGGGACACAGTTTCTTCAACTCATGTGATAGGGTCAGCTTCTCATCCTCCTCCCTACTTCTGCCCTATTCTTTCTGGTGGGGACCAGAGATTTTATGTGAAAGGTGTGGAAGAGGGTTTATAGAAATAAAGAGATTTTGAAATGGGCTCTAAGAATTGGTTGTTATTAGCCAGAGAAGTTTCACATGTCTTGTAGCTTCTCTGCTCTGGAGCCCTGAGGACCTGTGCTTCTTTTTTTTTTTAAGAGGTTTTTTTTTTTTTAGATTTTATTTATTTATCTTTAGAGGGGAAGGGAAGGAGAGAGGGAGAGAAACATCAATGTATGGTTGCCTTTTGTGCATCCCCTGCTGGGAACTGGCCTGCAGGGAACCGGCCTGCAATCCAGGCATGTGCCCTGACTGGGAATCGAACCGAGATTGTCTGGTTCAAAGGCCCGCGCTCAATCCACTGAGCTACACCAGCCAGGGCCAGGACCTGTGCTTCTTTCTTCCAGTCAGGCTCATCCCCGAGGCGAGAAAGACTGAGATGACAAAGGGGGTACGACAGGGAGAGAAGGGACTTGGCTTCCGTCTGTGGTCAGCTGGGTGTGGACTGAAAGCAACTCCAGGCAAAAGTCAACGAATGTTTATCTGGTTCTCTGCATTTTTTAGATGGATTAAGTACATGTTTGCTTTCTGTCTCAGGGACACTCCGCACGTCTCCGAGGGGTTATGTACAAAACGAATTGTCTTATAACCGCACCATTCACAGGCTGTTCAGAATGAGCATCAACTGAGAAAAATGCAGCGACAGTCCTCAGCCACCTCCACAGGGCTACCGACCCCCCTACTCGGCCCCGATTAGCTGTGTTGCTCTGGGCACCAAACCTCTCTGGGATTCACTTTCCCCACACAAACTGAAAGAAAAAATTTCTACTCTTTTACCTTCCCCAGTGGGTGAGAATAAAGAGGTGATTCAAACATAGTTTCCTATGCATAAAATAAGCCAGGATGAATGAAGAACTTGAAGATAAAAGTAGTGGGGAGGGCAAGAGTTATGTAAGTTATAGGCTATAGGATCTGAAACACCATGAGACTTGACTCAAGCCAGGTAGACAGTCTGGAGCATCTCAAAGCGAGGAGTAGCTGAGGCCAATCTCCCACCCAGTATTAGCATCCTTTTCCTACTGTGTCCTCAGAAGATGTTAGATGCATATTTGGGGGCCCCTTTCAGGGCCGGAAAAGCCATGGCCCTTCAGAGTCTCAGCCCAGTGTTGACTGGCACAGTTTTCTGGGAAGAACAGCTGATGGGTAGCAATGGCCTTGCAGATGGGGACTGAGCCCCTGGCCTCAGCTGCGCAGGCTGACGTGTCCCGGCCGGCTGGCTGCAGGTTCTTGGGAAGACCTGTTTGTGTATGTATGAACAACAATTTTAGTGTTAAAATTTCTATGTGCCAGGAAGTCTCGAGGTCCTGGGCCAGGTGGGATGGTTGGTCACCCTGCTTCCATCTGACGTCAGGTGATGGGTCAAGAGAAGCTGGGAATAAGGCATTCTTTCCTGTCCACATGGTGCAGATCAGCTTCCCTCAACACAGACCCCCAGCATCCAGGAAAACACTGGTCCCTAGGTACTGCATCTCCTCAAAATTTTTCTACTGTTTACACACATGCGCACACATGCGCACATGGGTTTCCAGCTGAAAATATGGTGACATGATTACCAGGGAAAGGAACACAATGGGAAGCACTCAGGATTTTGGTCTCCAGAACTGATCAGCATCCACTTCTTGGTGTCTGTGCTCCAGAACCATACACACCCCTCTGTCTGACAGAAATGGGCCACAGGGGGTGCTGTGGCCTCAGCCTGCCGCTCCCTTCAACAAAATGTGATGTGCTTGGTATGGCTAACCTCAGTCCCCCCTAGGAGGCAATCCAGGCTGCGGGAGCCCTGCACAGCTGCCTGGTGAGTCTTCCCTGCTCTCCGTCCTGACGTTTCAGCTCCTGAGTGTTGAGGCGGCCTGGGTACTCACACAGCTGGCAGAGAGGGACAGGGATGGCTGATGAAAAGCCAGGTAAAGCTCAGCCCTGGGTGCGGTCAGGCTGGAGGAGGAGGTGGGAGACAAGGGAAGCAGGGAGAGTGGCTACAGGTGTGGGAATCAGAAGCAGCCTGGGGTGAAGTCTTGCCCAGACCAAAGGCTGGTCATTAGCAAGAAACCTTCACTTGACTTGACAGAGGGCAGTGTGCTGTCCCCAGTTTTAACAAGAATGAGGCCACTACAATTCTCCTCCCTCAGGCGGCCTTAGTGACGGGTCCACTCGTCAGGGCTGGCACCCGTGCCTGGAAATAGATGTGCAAGGTTTCTGGGGCTGCTGTGGCACAGCACCCCAGACTGGGTGGCTTGAACAACAGAACATGACTTGAGTCCCAATTCTGGAGGACAGAGGTCTGAGGTCAGACCTCAGCAGCGTGGGCTTCGTCTGTTGGCTGGGAGGCAGAATCAGCTCCAAGCTTGTCCCCTAGCTTCTGGCAGTTTGCTGGTCATCTTTGTCCTTCCTTGGCTGACAAAGATGTGTGGCCTTCATGATCAAGCATCATTCTCCTGGTGTGCATATCTCTGTGCCCAAACTTTTGCTATTTATAAGGACCCCAGTCATGGAGTGTGCCGGGGGGCCCACCCTGCTCCAGTACAACCTTGTCTCATTAATTATACCTGCAATGATCCTATTTCCAAATAAAATTACCTCCTGAGGTTCTAGGGGTTAGGATTTCAACATCTGAATTTTGGGGACACAATTCAACCCATAACAATACCTGAAAGGGTTATTTTTCTATTTTCTTGTTTTTGAATATCCTTCAACTTCAGCTATCCTTCAACAGACAGAAAACTTAGCCTCTTAAACCAAGCTTTCAGAAAGAACATAATTACAGAGTCAGCACCTCATTGAAGGTGGCCTGCCAAGCCTGCAGGCACCAGGAAGAGTACTTCAGCCCCTGGGACCCTGAGATGCCCATGGTTGGCGCCTCTGAGCTGAGGAGGCAGGACCTTCTCTCAGCCTGGCTCTGGCCAGCTTTCTCCCTGTTCATCAGGGCAAGGAGCTTAGCTTCCGCAAGCAGGTAATGCTGAGTTACCCCAACACATTTGGACTTCAGGGCTGAAGAGGGATTTAAATGAGACCAATGAATTTGAGTACCTGTTACATCTCAGGAAGTAGGGAATAGGATCAAGGATGGAACCTGACATCACAGAGATCATCTTTGAAGGGGGGAGACCAATAATTAAGATATAAATGATATAGTTTCAGGTGATATTATATAATTTCAGATCCTGTATTTCCATAAACGCACTGGAAAATACAAACACAAGGAAATGTAAGAGAGTAGGCATCTGTTATGCTTTTCGAACCATGAATGTGGTATGCAGGGCACAGCTGGAGCCCGGCCCTTGCCCTGTGACTTCCAGGTTTGGTTCCTTAGGGCCCCCCTGCCCCTCTGCTCCTGAGACTTCAAGGGGCTGCTGGGCCCGTACCCACCCCTGAGGCTCAGAAAGGTTTGTCCCTCTGCTGCTGCCTCAGGGTTCTGCTTCCTCTTGGCAGTTTAGACTTAGTCACTCCCTTGGCAAAATCATCACGACGTGTCATCTCCTTGTGATGTCACAAGCAGGACAGCTTCTCTATGACCTCCGTCCTAAAGGTCAGGCTGAGGCTGAGATGGGGTCAGGCCAGTCAGGGGCTCAGCTGACACAGAGTCCGGTTCTCAGGCCTGACTCTATGAATAACTAAGGCCCAGTCACTTCCTGGGCTGTGACGCTTAGATGAGCGGCTGGGTAAGTCTAGCCACTGCTAGTGCTACTCACTTGTTGTGTGACCTTGAGTAAGTCACTTGCCCTCCTCGTGCCACAATTTTCTCAGTGAAAAATAACCCTTTCCTTCATAGGGTTACTGTGAAGTTAAGTGAGGTCATAGATGTAAAGTGCTTAGAACCTGCACTCTGTAACATAGACAAACATCACTGTTGTGGTTATCACTGATACCTTTCCATTCTTCCCCACAATGCTTCTGTAAGGGAAACCCCCCTGCACCGCCTGACCCCCCAGGTCCAGCTTGGACAGGCCATGCCCTCTCTCCATCCCTAATGGGCACAGAACATCCCTTGATATGTACAAACTCTTTTTCCCCCTCATAAAATGCTTTTCCAGTGTCCAGCCTCTCATCTCCAATCTTCATCATTCTCAAATCTCTTGACTTTGCCTGTTCTCAGAACCCAGCGTCTCTCAAGCTTTGTCAGGCAGGCCTTACTCCAGGATTCTGTCACGGCTGCAGCGTACTTCTATTATATATGGTAATTTGTTAATATTACAATATTTTGTTAATTTTTAAATGGATTTTTAGTCAATTATTGTCATCATCAGTGGGAAACTGATATAGTTTCCATAACAGGCAGCAAGTATTGAAGAATATGTACACTGAAAACAAAACAATGTGAACTGGACCAGAGATCCTCAAGCTTTTTCAATAACAAGCCAGACCTTAAACATTTTAGACTTTGTGGGCCATAAGGTCTCTGTTACAACAATTCATTTTGGCTATTGACAATATGTAAATAAATGGCTGTGTTCCAATAAAACTTTATTTACAAAACCAACCAGTGGGCCAGGCTTGGCAACTTCCGGCCTAGATACTGTTGTCTATTGAAGTTGCTGAACCTGAAGCCTACCTTCTCTTTCTCAAATAAAGGTGTGAGTTTCACAGATTTCAGAGGGCGCA